AACATAGTGCATACCCTGTCGCCACGGCAACTGAAAAAGAGAGCACTGCAGCAGAATGTGTACCGTGTTCAGGAGTCGCCACACAGGCTCAGCCAATCACACCTGTTGCCGTTCACGCTGCTTCTCCTGGCTTGTCTGCTGACGCCGGTCTCCCAAGCAGGGCCGGCGGAGATATCGACCTAATTCTCTTGGAAGGCGAATCAGCAGACAGCCTCCATGTTGCATGCTGTGCGTCGACTAGCGAATGTGCTGGTTCTGAAGTGCAATGTGCAGGCGACTCACCGAAAACCGTGTCCACGATGAATAGCGCTGGGCCAGGAATCCAGGTTGAACATAGTGTATACGCTGTCGCCACGGTAACTGAAAAAGAGAGCACTGCAGCAGAATGTGTACCGTGTTCAGGAGTCGCCACACGGGATCAGCCAGTCACACCTGTTGCCGTTCATGCTGCTTCTCCTGGCTCGTCTGCTGACGCCGGTCTCCCAAGCAGGGCCAACGGAGATATCGACCTACATGTAATTCTCTTCGAAGACGAATCAGCAGACAGCCTCCATGTTGCATGTTGTGCGTCGACTAGCGAATGTGCTGGTTCTGAAGTGCAATGTGCAGGCGACTCACCGAAAACCGTGTCCACGATGAATAGCGCTGGGCCAGGAATCCAGGTTGAACATAGTGTATACACTGTCGCCACGGCAACTGAAAAAGAGAGCACTGCAGCAGAATGTGTACCGTGTTCAGGAGTCGCCACACAGGCTCAGCCAATCACACCTGTTGCCGTTCACGCTGCTTCTCCTGGCTCGTCTGCTGACGCCGGTCTCCCAAGCAGGCCCAGCGGAGATATCGACCCAATTCTCTTCGAAGATGAATCAGCAGACAGCCTCGATGTTTCATATTGTGTGTCGGATTTCGAATGTGATGTTTCTGAAGTGCAAAGTGCAGGGGACACACCGGCTGTAACTCCTCAGCAGCAGCAAGGGCCTGTTGAAGAGAAGCTGCTGGCTACACCAGATGAAGGATTCAAGCCCCGGCAGGGCAAGAGCCCAAGAACTCCTCGGGGACTTGACGATATGGGCAGTGGCAAGACACCTACATCTTGTCGTCGCGTGGGCGCAAAGCGTGTCGCAACTCTTGAAAAAGCCCGACCCAGCCGCACAATACAGCCAACGACAACGCAACAAGCAAAATGTCAGACGCACAACTCACCTAGGCTATTGGCGATGCATCGCTCCAGCAAGTCGGGTGCTGCGGGATCTCGAGCAGCTAAAGCTACCACATCATCAGCGAAATCTCCAGCAGGAGCGAAGAAACAGACCCAGCGTCGTGCGTCCAGCAAGGCCAGCGATAGCACTGGCACTGCGAAGTCGAACTCGAAATGCAAAAGTCGTGTTCTGCATTCAGACCCGTCCAAAGGAGGCGCCGCTGAGATTGTCAGGGATGGGACAAGCGCACAGCAGGCCGAAGTGGGCAAACCGAAAGCTATCACATCTGGCTCGGAAGCATCTGAGATGGCTGCGTCGGCAGACAAAGATACACCTGGTGCTTGCAGCGAGGCGCCGGTACACACACAGCCGCAGCAGCAGCCACACGGCACTGATGAGGAGCTGCTGAGCTTGTTTAATGCAATTCTCACCAAGGAAATACCGAAGCACAAGCGCACACGCCATCACCACAAGAAGGGCGATAAAGTTCGCGACGACAAGGTGAGGCTGAGAGTGGGCAGTAGCAAGAACGGTAGTAACAAGTTGAAGCGCAGAGTGAGCACCGACAAGGCGATGCCCAGCAGCAGTGAAAAGGCTACACCCAGCAGCAGCAGCAGTGACACGCACTGCTACCCTTCACTGGAACACGTGTCCACGGTGAATAGCGCTGGGCCAGGAAGCCCGGCTGATCAGGGTGTGTGCACTGTCGCCACGGTAACTGGAAATGAGAGCACTGCAGCCGAATGCGTACCGTGTTCGGGAGCCGCCACACAGGCTCAGTCAATCACACCTGTTCCCTGTGTCGTTCATGCCGATGTCATCGCTGGGACGCACAGTCTTGCAACCAGCAAGCCAGCGGAACACGTCCAGCCGTGCATGGAACCAGTTCCGTCACAACTATCCCTGGCGACGCCGCTGTCCTATACTGGCCCTGCCGAAGTGATCCTGAGCACGGACGGTGTCGTGACTGGCGATGGTAATAATCCGGACATGTCGAGGGACATCGATGATATGCCGACTGCAATCATGCGCTCAGTCGCCGATAGCCTGAGCTTGTCTGGTGCAGGCATCAGAGTCACCAAGGAAATACCGAAGCACAAGCGCACACGCCATCACCACAAGAAGGGCGATGAAGTTCGCGATGACAAGGTGAGGCTGAGAGTGGGCAGTGGCAAGAACCGTAGTAACAAGTTGAAGCGCAGAGTGAGCACCGACAAGGCGATGCCCAGCAGCAGTGAAAAGGCTACACCCAGCAGCAGCAGCAGTGACACGAACTGCACCCCTTCACTGGAACACATGTCCACGGTGAATAGCGCTGGGCCAGGAAGCCCGGCTGATCAGAGTGTGTGCACTGTCGCCACGGTAACTGGAAATGAGAGCACTGCAGCAGAATGTGTACCGTGTTCGGGAGCCGCCACACAGGCTCAGTCAATCACACCTGTTCCCTGTGTCGTTCATGCTGATGTCATCGCTGGGACGCACAGTCTTGCAACCAGCAAGCCAGCGGAACACGTCCAGCTGTGCATGGAACCAGTTCCGTCACAACAACTATCCCTGGTGACGCCGCTGTCCTATACTGGCCCTGCCGAAGTGATCCTGAGCACAGACGGAGTCGTGACTGGTGATGGCAACAAGCCGAACATGTCGGACATCGGTGATATGCCGACTGCAGCCATGTGTTCAGTCGCCGATCATGGTGCCGATTTCCTTAGAACAGATACCTGCCACACCAAGCCTGATACCACTAGCACCGGCAACTGCCATACCAGGCCTTATCCCCTCGAGCTCGGCACGGTGAGCGCCGATGTTCAGAATGCTGGATCGGCTGCGTGCACAGTATCTTTACCCAGCTGCAGCGTGACCAGTCCTGGCACGCATACACTCATGTCCAGGGCATTCCCGGAGTCCCAGAACACCACGGAAACCCAAGCGTCGTTGCCCGCAAGCAGCACCTTTTTGGAGTCCCGCGCCACACAAGGCGAAGAGCAGGACCAGGTGGTGCACTCCGGAAAGCCAAGTCGTGCAGTGCCGCCTGACAGTGTAGCCGGCACTGGCATGCACGAACCCATCTACACATCTGTAGAGTCTGAGAACACTAAGGACACTCCTGGGACTTTGCACACAAGCATTGCCTGTTTAGAGTCCCAAGCAGCACAGTGCAGTGTACAGAACCAGGTGGCGCACTCCCGTCAGCCAAGCGTTGCAGCTCTGCTGTGCCTGCCCAGACACCGAGTGCACTATCCAACAGAGCGCGAGTATTTAGACATGACACCGACAGCGTCTGATGATTGCTGTGGCTGTGGCAAAGAAGACGACGACGACGACGAAGAAGAAGAAGAGAAGAGCGAGGCCATGTTGGAGGCGGCATCCTGGCAGAAAATGCCACTTGCTGGCAAGCGCACCATCACCAAAAGGCTGCTTAGCGATCGACCGACAGAAGACACATGGTGGGAGAAGGTGATCAAATACAATCATCAGTTTGAGGACAACACAGATCCTAAATCATCACAAGACCAAATACCTCCACCCACAGACGAAGGGATGGCAGCAGCCCCTACACGCATTTTATATTCCGAGGAGAATGCTGATGTAGGCCTTAGCCAAACAGATAACTTTATGGGTGCATTTTGCTCAACTATCGCGGATCATGACTCTCCCAATCCTATGCCAGTGATTGAGAGACCAGTAAACAGCATCGCACAAGCCGTTGAAAGTAAATGTTCCGAGGAACCAGGCCAGTGGCAAAACAGGCTGGCCTATGCTGAGCTCCGACAACCACAGAACTCTACCGCACGCAGCACTCTTCATGCATTCCCTTTGGCTGCTCGAGCCACCGATCATTGCGGAAAGGAAAACGAGCAAGAGGCAACGAACTGCATGTCAGAGCCAAAGTCCTATGTGACTGGCAACCAGGAACAACGGGATGATGGGTGCAGTGATCGCAGGACATCTGCTCACACAAGTCTACCGTACAGTAGTTTGAACACCGGGACCACAGATCAGCGTAGCGAGACTCAGAGGGGAAAGTGCGGTCGCCGCCGACGGCGGACTTACGTCAGCTTGAGGCAGCCACACAGCGATACGCATGCCTGGCTCAACACACTGCAGCCTGATACATCAAGCTGTCATGGTACGCAACCAGCTGGCACCATAGACCTGAATATCAGGTTTGAACAGGATGCCGTCGGCTGTACGCCTGTTCTGAACATTTGCATTGGTGACAGCTAGACCATTCGCCAATGTGCCTCATGCATACATTTGCCAATGCGCTTCATAAATACAAATGATAGGAGCATTCACTGATTAGTCTTTAACTAACTACTTTGGTTCTCTCAACACACTAGACAAACGTATCGGCATGATGACAATAATAATATTCTTCGACTTTGCTTCTCACTGACCACTAGATAATGATAGAACGACTCCCAAACTTAGACTTAGGGTTATTGACACTCAGCACATCCAATAACAGGTAATGGAACTCAATTCTATCTCTCATCCATGTGCACACACACGCACTCGTGAGCGCACGTGCGCACTCACACGCACACACACACACACACACACACACACACACACACACACACACACACCAGCACACACACACACACACACACACACACACACACACCAGCACACACACACACACCAGCACACACAACACGCATGTCGAGGTCTAACTCTGACACTTCTGTTGCAGAAAGACGTTGCGTTGTGATTCGTATCTAGTTCTTATTTCATTCATTTGAAACTCGCCGTTGAAGTTCACGCTTGGCTACTGGGTGACTGATAGTGTAAATGCGACTGCAGGAAGGCAGACAACTTCGGCCTGTAACTCAGATTCACTTGGTATGCATATGAAAAAGGAGCTGTGAATGTACCTAACCCATGGGCTGACTATGGCAATAGACACCCAACCAGAAAATGCATGGACTAAAAAATCGTGAAAGCTACAAAAGGGAAAGCGTACGCATACCATCATCACATTAAAAAGATACAATCTTACCGAAACTCGATGAACATGCACATGTAATGAAAAAGAGCTAATGTAGCTGACTATCACGCAGTTCATGGAGTGTGTAGAAAGTTTCAAACAGGCCGACCACAGAGCAGCCTCAAAGCAGGAAGAAAGATGAATTCGATTTCACGGTTCTGCTTGATTATGTGAGGCCGAAAAAAAATGAGGGGCTGAGTTTCTGATGCTCCTACTGATGTTCCGTAACACTGGTTACATACATTTCACAACATGAGCAGAGTGCTAGGATGCACTTAGTGCGAAGGAGCGGAACGTGTTGGTAAAGCTGGAATTGTCTAGCACAGCTGCTCTCAGATTTCGACTTTGAACACTGATCTTCGGACAGAATTACCAAGATGATGATCAGCCCGAAATTTGTCAGCCGGCTAATTCGGGTAGGACTGTTGCGTTCGTGGGTCACACGTCTCGCCCGGCAGATTCGATACAGGCCGACGAACATGCACGAGCACCATTCCAAGGATGTCTAGACTATCTCCACCATTCTATCCTTCCTATAATGATTTATGTTTACACACAGGTAGAGTGGTTTAGCGAGAACATCCAAACCCTTGATTTCCCTCCTCTCTCCAGTTCGCGGAAGGCACAGCTGAAGGCTGTTCGCATCGCAGTCCACAGTGAAAGTCAAGACTTCGCCGTTTATCCATGGAGACGTCTTCGAATTTCCCCCTTCGTACTTTAAATGTCGCCGAAACTGGTACTCTGGGCGAGCCCACCCCGCTCCGTAGCGATGGCAAATGGAAACTGAGTTGCTAATTTCACCTTGCGGAGGAAACTCAGCTACACCAATCTGCATGTAGCCCAAGTTAAGTTCCTGGCCGCTGACTTTGAGAGAAAATATGTGAACCCCAGTTGAGTACGCTTCCGTGCCGTATACATAGCCATGGCCTTGGGCGCACCTAAACGATCCGTCTATTTTCACCACCTTGCCAGAGTCAGATATGCACATTGCAGTGGAGCATCGGTCGGGGTCGAATCTGAGCTGCCTCTGTACTTTCACCGGCAGCGGTATGTGTCTGGTCATCTTGCCCAGGCGCACCTGTAGGGTATGTTCGCCGAGGGTCTCCGGTTCCACCTGGGCATGGGCGGTTATGCGTTCGTTGCTCGCTTCACTGATGGTAGGCAAGACTTGCCGATTGCCAAACGACGACACGAGCGATGCCACAACCTGTGGTTGATGATCCTCACTACCACACCGGGTTGCAATTTCGGAGCATGGAATTGTTAGTTTTATCTCGCATGCCTTACCTAGCTCCATGGTCTGCGGGATTTCTGCCGTCATCCCTCCGAGGTCCGAGCCGTAGTTTTCCACAACGATAACGACTCCTTGAAGCGCCTGCTTGAGGTGCTCCAGATCTTGGGATGTGCTGAAGGTCTGTACTTCAGGCAGCACCGTCATGGCTGCTTCCTCTGACTTGACGTTCGCACTGAACTGCTCCAGGTTCCGCAGCACTCGTCCGCTCAAACTCACCACGTCGAAGTCGCTACTTGCTGGACCACTGAGGTGACGTGCAAGCTCCTTGGCAGTGCTCTGCGTCGCTTGAAGGCTTGTCAGGCGCCGCCGCCGTGCCTCCAGTGCCGTCTGCTTCTTCCAACGCAGCATGTCGACTTCACCCAGGAGCTCTTCCTTTTTTTTATCTACTAGATCCTTGATGCATGTGAATGTTTCCGTGATGTGCTGGGAGGCAATGTCTGCCTCATCATTAGCAGTGGACAGATCTGACTGAAGCCTCTTTTTCATCGCTTCAATATCCGTTGGTGTCGGCCCGGATGAGCCCGCTGCAGTGTCTTGAGAATGTGTTGTCGCAGTCTTCAGAGCAGCACGCATCTCCTCAACCACGGCAGACAGTCGTTTAGCAGTGTGGCCTTGGTGCTCTCGCACCATGCACTGTTCGCATGCCTCCACATCGCAATTCACGCAGAAATGGCAGAGCTTGTACGGCGAGTGCATTGGACACGGCACTTCCGTTGTGCGTACTGGCGTGGAAGCCGCGCCATCCGACTTCAGGGGAATGCGCGTGTCATGTCGGGATTGCCTCATCGTTGCGTGCGCCGCAGAGTGATTATCGCAGAGCAGCGCTTCATGACAGTCCTCGCATCTACACGTGGATGGGCGGGCATCACGACAGAAATCACATTGTAAAATATTAGAGCGAAGCGATCCGTCCTCGTCACTCAATGTATCGTGGTCGGCGGAGTTATCACCTTGCAGGCAGCTTGAGACTAACTGTTTGCTGAGGCGAGCGGAAGGGTATAACGGCTGCGTTACTTCCTGGCAAGTGGCACATTTCACGCAGCCTTGAGCTGTGGTTTGCTCTTGCAAACACGTCGAGCAAATGACATGCAGACAGCGTAAGAATTTCCCGTCGCGAGGGTCCTTCACATCACAGAAGGCACATGCCTTTGGATTGGTGTCCTGGCACGCTCCCGATCCCGGCAGCCTGGTTGCTGGGCTGGCACTGCTACTAGTGCTAGGTTCCGACATGCTCTTCCTGGAAACCCTCTCCCCTGCTGGCTAGGCTCTGAAGTCAGAAGTACTGTCGGCCTGACACTGCACTGCCTCGGCTCCTCCCAAACAGTTGCTCGCCTCCTTGCCCCGGTAGCCGAAGTCGCTAACCGTGAAAACTGTTTCGCAGCACGACAGCCATCCACAAGCTACAAGGCATGCTGTTGCCGTACTGAGCCAGCTACAGTAGATTCGTTCTTTTTCAAGTTTTGCATAGTAATCAAGATATGAGGCGCAGAATGCATGGAGTGTAAACGTACTAAAAGAGTGTTTGGCTACACTTTGTTGAGTGAGATCAGATTGGGAAGCTGACTAGTACAGTACTAGTCAGTACTCGTAGTAGTAGTAGTAGTATGCCTTTAGTACTGCGTTGGCACTGACTGCGTGTGTTGTGTAGTGCATGCATGATGCATTGATGCAATGATGGGCGTGATCTGAAAAAAAATCATGTCCACGTGTCGTGTGTACTTGCGAGTGCTCGAGTGCTCGCGATGGTACACGTACACACGCGTGGGCGGCTTTGTGGGTTTAGATCTGCTGCAGCTTTTCAGCCACTTACACTGCCTGCATGGCCTGGCATGGCATGGCAGTGCACTGTCGCACAGGCGGCGGGCCATGCGACGGCGCCAGAGCTGCAGCGCGACCAGCGTCGACCTGTCGCTGATCAGCTAGCTATGACTAGTATGAGGTGTACACGTATGCTGAGTTGCACAGGTCCCACCCACTCTTATCTATCTGCTAGATCATTATTGTAGTCTTGACTAGTTATGTAGTCGTAGCTTTATCATGCATCTTTCGTACTTTTCTCACACGCTCAGGTATGGTGATGGTCGCATGGACAAGCGCTATTTAAGCATGCCTTCATCATGCATAGTATACTGTATAGTATGTGCAGCGGCTGCAGCCCTACATAATCCTACAAGTGTACTTTTAAAACAAATAATTTATTCTGGTTCTGTATCCATGCCATGGTATCCTGACTTGGGTAGTTGGGGAGTCTCGATCGTCCATAGACTGGACTAGACACGCGCGCATCTCAGGTGTACCCGTACTTCTCTCAAAAGCGCAACGTTTCCGACGAACAATTGCCGCGATGTTTCACACAGTACATGTATGGGCCCGGGGCTGCGTTCCCCAAACGAAAAGAAAAAGCCAACGTCAGGACCATGATGATAGCAGTTTTATATTAGTCTAGAGATAAAACGCAGGATCAGGGTAGAAATAAGAGACTGTAAGGAAGTGTGTTGCTCCCCACACTGGAGCTGGCGCTTTTTCCGCGGACCTGAGCTGACTTGACACTTCACTGACCCTCCAACGAGTCCAAGCACTGCGTATTGATCTGGGAGTGGTGCTTTCTCGCACGTTTGCCAAGTTGAAGGTTCAATGACAATGGACTCCTCGTGTGCTCTAAGAGCACATGCATGTGTCAGTCAAGTGTCAAGTCATCGAGATATCTACCGTTCTCTCTTCTTTCTGTTTTCTTTCGCTGATCCACACCCTACGTAGACTCTCTCCCACATTTATCAACCCGACGCTTCCATTACGCCACTCCACCTTCTACGCACGCCAACACCTTCTACCAACCTACCAGTACACTTATACCCGAAGGGTGTACCCCTTCCCACCTGTATCGACCCGCACCTAACCTTCACCATTAACTTAGATACATGTACATGTATTTCCCACCTTCACCTTCTCACCTCATCTCACCACCATCACTCCCTATTAACCCGTGCCACCACCCAAAGCCCTCCATTCTTTATCCACTGACGATGTTGTTCAGAACAACGAAACGTCTGGAGAAGTATCGTAAATATTTCTATCTATATAATTATGAGTTGATAGCGCCCCTAGCGCTTTCTGTTATCCTTGTCCCGCCATACTGGGCTTTAAATAGTGAGTTATTTTTCTTGATGTTCATATCACCTGATGAGTGCCTGAGATGGCATGAAACTTTAAGTTGTGACTGATCAAGCCATCTGTTGTTCTGACTAGTGTGTCACGGCTCTACCTTCCCGGTATCGAGCTCTCTTGGATTTCTGCTGGAATTCACAACAGTGTGGATCTGCTCCCAGCCCCTGGTGAGCTCTCTCTCTCTAGCGGAAAGCCAGCAATGGATGGACTGAGAAGACTGGACATCGACTACTCACTGAAAAATATCCCGGTACCATCTGCTAAGGTCTACAGGAAGGCGCTGATCGAGAAGGTGGAGAGCGTCGTGAAACGAATGCGTTGGAAGGCATGGTTCTTTCTGAAAGACGACCAAGCCGATGAAGCAGATTTGGACGACACCCCCGTCTTCAAATCCAGGAACTGCTCCCCGCAAGTTGAGGAGATGAGGCATTTTGAAGATGATCTGCTGGATATGGTCGAAAAGGTTTCATTTCGTACAGTTTCCGATCCCTTCCAAGATAAACTCAAGCAAGACTCTAAGAACTTCAACTCTACCGATGACATCATCGTCCGCGCGGATAAAACAAGAAATACTTATCTGGTCAAGACAGACCTGTATGAGAAGCTGCTGCGAGATAACACTACTACAGTCCATTTCAAAACTATAGACGCGTACCTAGGCAAAAAACCGGTATGCCAGCATCTATACCACATAAAATCTGTGATCACTTTGTGCATAAATTTTTCCAAATTGGGCGTCTGTTATCCAATCGTTTAGAAACTATATGAGAGTAATTGTGGAGCGGACCTGAGTAATATTCCGAAAACTATTCTCAAAAAGCTCCAGCCAAATTTGAAATATTTCAAAAACCCTACGCGGCTATAGTTTTGAAATGGACTGTAAGCACTACCAGTTAGCACCTGAATCTACCTACGACGAGATTAATAACGAGGCAAGGGATCTATCACGCAAGGCTAAGCTCGATGATAGAATGGAGACCCTACCCAAAGCTGAGGCCTTTATTACTATGAAGGATCATAAACCAAGGTTCGAGAGCAGCCTTCCCTGCCGATTGATAAATCCTGCCAAGCCTGACATGGGTCGACTCAGCAAGGGGATCCTCCACAAGGTGATCAGGAGCATCGTGGAACGTCAGAACATGAACCTCTGGAAGAACACCGCGGCTGTGCTCAAGTGGTTCCAGGTCATACCTAATAAGCAGAGCCACTCCTTCATCTGCTTTGACGTTGTTGACTTTTATCCAAGCATCACCGAGCCGAGCCTCCGGTCTGCACTGGCATTTGCTGGGCAGTACTGTTTGCCGCACTGACCCAAAGTGACATCGACATCATCATGCACTCCCGTAGGTCACTTCTGTTCCAGGGCGGCCGTCCATGGATAAAGAACAACGCACAATGCAACTTCGACGTGGCGATGGGATCGTACGATGGAGCAGAGATTTGTGAGCTCATCGGTGCTTTCCTATTGAGCAAGTTGTCTGTGCACGTCGATGAGGCCGGAATTGGACTTTACATAGACGACGGCCTTGCCGTGCTGAAAAATACACCAGGGCCAGTTGTCGACCGCACGAGGAAATCCATTATTGGTGTACTAGCTGTGCTAGTACTTGTTAGCAACAATCCGAACTAGCGCACACACTGCACTGCATTGCTTTGTACTGCATTCAAGACTGACGTCATGCGCTTTGTTTTGCTGCGTAATCACAAATGGCACCAGCCCATTTTTGCGGAAAAGAAAAACAAATCTTGCTTGCCCTGTTGTGCTCTTCCAGACAACGGATCGTGCTTCAGCAGTGTTTCTTTTCCCACCATCCCTCCCTATCCAACTTATTCACACCATCATAATATTATCGTACCCACTAACCGGGTCCACTCTCACAACTGGTGTTATCTAGCTATTTGCTGCGGCTCTGCCTTGCGCTATATTACATCCATTTAGCATTGCAGCTCTACGTTGAGCTAACAGCAGCTCTACTTTGAGCTAACAGCAGCTCTACTTTGAGCTAACAGCAGCTCTACTTTGAGCTAACCGCAGCTCTACTTTGAGCTAACCGCAGCTCTACTTTGAGCTAACAGCAGCTCTACTTTGAGCTAACCGCAGCTCTACTTTGAGCTAACCGCAGCTCTACTTTGAGCTAACAGCAGCTCTACTTTGAGCTAACAGCAGCTCTACCTTGAGCTAACAGCAGCTCTACTTTGAGCTAACAGCAGCTCTACTTTGAGCTAACAGCAGCTCTACTTTGAGCTAACAGCAGCTCTACTTTGAGCTAATCGCAGCTCTACTTTGAGCTAACAGCAGCTCTACTTTGAGCTAACCGCAGCTCTACTTTGAGCTAACCGCAGCTCTACTTTGAGCTAACCGCAGCTCTACTTTGAGCTAACAGCAGCTCTGCTCTGAGCTAACACCAGCTCTACTTTGAGCTTCAAACCAGTTGTTTCGAAACCAGCACTCCTCAATCCAAAGATGCCTCTTTGTTGACTTGTTTGTGTGAGGGATGGGGCTAACGAAGTATTCAAGCAGTATGATATAAAAATCACTATCGACTTTAATCTTTCGACAGTGAATTTCCTAGATGTCACGCTCAGCCTCGACACTGGGAAATTCCAGCCGTATCGTAAACCTGGAGACGCACCTCTCTACGTCAACGCCATGTCCAATCACCCACCATCCATACTACGGAACATCCCTGATATGATCGCTCGACGTGTCTCAAGCATATCTGCCAACAGCGGCGTATTCGCCGATGCTGCCCCTACATATCGCAATGCATTAGCGGCCAGCGGATTACCTGCCAACATCAAGTACATTGACCCAACGCCACCTGCTTCAATGAACGGCAGCAAGCAAAAAAGAAAAAGGAAACGGAATGTGGTGTGATTTAACCCGCCATACTCCAAGAGTGTCCGGACCAACATCGCCGGCACCTTCCTCCGGCTGATCGACAAGCATTTTCCTAAGGGGTCCAAAATGAACAAATTCTTCAACCGCTTCAACGTGAAGGTGAGCTACTCCTGTTTGCCGAATATGGCCCACATTATCAGTGGCCACAATAAGCGTCAATTGTGCGTCCAGGAACCGGACAAGCCGTGCAACTGCCGTCGCAAGGACCAGTGCCCTCTCAACGGAGCGTGCCAAGCAACCAGCATAGTCTACGCGGCGGAGGTGTCGAGTGATGGCCACAGCGATGGGCCCAAGACCTACATTGGCAGTACGGAGCCTCCATTCAAGCGTCGATACGGGAACCACAAGACATCCATCAAGCTTCCTGGATACCGCAAATCCACGGGCCTCTCAAAGCATGTGTGGGAATTGAAAGATAATGGCAAGACGCACGACATCAAGTGGCGAGTGGTTCAGAAGGCCAAGGCCTACAGCAACGTAACGAAAAGATGCAGCCTGTGCCTCGAGGAGAAGGCGAGAATACTCACTGCCGACAGGAGATCGAGCCTCAACAAGCGGTCGGAGTTGATATCCAAATGTCGACATCAAAATAAATTCATGCTATCAACACCGATAACATGATCTTCTCGGCACCCTGCTTCCAGGCAGTAGGGACAGTTGATAGCTCTCTGCCGCCTTGTCACCATCATCATCTTTGCACCGCGCATCTCACTAGCTGGGCCAGCTCGGTTTATCACCTTTATCACCTTAGGTACCGCGATCCTTACTGGCTATGACACTGAATCGGATATGAGTTGATAGCGCCCCTAGCGCTTTCTGTTATCCTTGTCCTGCCATACTGGGCTTTAAATAGTGGGTTATTTTTCTTGATGTTCATATCACCTGATGAGTGCCTGAGATGGCATGAAACTTTAAGTTGTGACTGATCAAGCCATCTGTTGTTCTAACTAGTGTATCTATATTTATCATATACTTATTATATCACTCTTTGGTGTAGAAAGAATATTTTTTGATATTACAATGAGAGTGGATAATCAATGGCTTGCCCACCAACAATCTGAGGATTGGTGGATACCCATGAAAGTCTGAGTAACAACATACTTCAGCCTAGTTCCATTGCTCTGTCTGTGTAAGCTACTCTTGGTAGAGAAATAATAGATGATAAAATGGCTAATGGCCCTCAGCGTCTGTTCTCACAACTCCATGTGCATGTGTGACACTGACTCACGCTGCTGCCTGGTGCTCACGACACGACGTTTGTTCGCGTGCGCGATGCCGGACAAATTACTGGTGCTGTGCTCGTGGATATGTCCAAAGCATTTGACAAGGTCAGGCACCAAATGCTCATTAATGATTTGTTTGAGCTTGGCATATCTGGTTCAGCATTAGTTTGGTTTGTCGACTATTTGTCCAATCGTCGCCAAATAGTGCACATTGCTGAGAACCATAGCCCTCCTTTCCCCTGCATGTGTGGCGTTCCCCAGGGCTCTGTTCTTGGTCTGCTGCTTTTTGTACTCTATGTTCGTTCGATCCAGTCCATTGTCTCCGAGTTTTGTGTGAAAGTTAATTTGCTTCAATTTGCTGACGATATTCTATTGTATGTTTGCGGTATGCAGAAGAATGCGCTTAGCAACTCCCTGTCTGCAGCTGTCTCAGCCATTAGTACCTGGCTGTCAAACCGCAATTTAATTCTAAATGCCCGGAAGACACAAGTGCTCTTCCTGTCTACGCCACATATTACTGACCACCAATTTGCAGTCTACTGTCATGGAGTGCAGCTCAAGCAAGTGACATGTGCAAAGTACCTTGGAATACATTTGGACCAGGATCTTTCTTGGAGGACTCAAGTTGATTCTATGGTCACCAAACTTGCCAGTAAAATTGGTATTCTGTTCCGAAATCGACACAATATTCCGCTGACTTGCGAAGAAAGCTTTGTAAAGTGCCTAGTGTGGGTGTTGAACCCGGTTCTGACCCCCATTATGCTAGGGGAGGTTTAGACTTCTGGCAACAGTTACTGCCACCACCATGACACTGTCGCGAGAAGGTGCTCTCTGTAGACGAGGTTCAACAACCATTATGGTTCAAATGGTACTAATGGACCGGGGCTCTGCCAACCGCGGAAGGTTGTAGAAAGGTCACTGTTTCCGAACAGGTCCTCCACCTTGTTTCATGCTGTCAATCTAACAATATGCGTGAACTATAACAAGGTTTATCTAATACTAGTTTTGAACTAGTATTGGGTTATATAATACCGTGTACATGATTGTACAAGTACATGATTGTACAAGTACATGATATGAGATAAAACCTTGCATTGTAGAAATACGCTTTTTTTACTTTGGCAGCATACGACAAGCTGAGAGAGGGACGTCGACGCCATGGGCAGAAGTTGACAAAAAGAAAGGAAAGAGTATAAAAATAAAAGGAAGAAGATTCAAAAACAAACGCAACGCTCCCTACTACCCCCCCCCCCCCCCCCTATAATGAGGGTCTACAATCTGAACACCCATACGGTTCAGATGGTCGCAAGACTCTACCAACAGTGGATGGTTGTAGTACAGCACACTGTTTCCGAACACGGTGTTCCACCACCTTGTAATAATTATGCTGTCAAACTAAAAGGCATGATTGATTGTACATGATTGTACATAACGTCAATACAGCCACAGGTCATAGCGAATACTTGTTAGCGAGTGTCACGTTTTGCCACAACTTTGATTTTGAGAATGCTGTGGCCTGACTGTGGTAGTCGAAACCGGCGAAAGCTTGACGCACGGAGTTCGTCATTATCGACTGTCCACATACAAGTCCATCCTTCTCACCATGATGAGATTGATGATGGTCAACAGAACTTGTGCAAGTTACGTAATCCCAGTCGCCCGTTGCCAAGTGCTTACGTCACATGTTATGATGTACAATGATGGCGACGTATCCGCAAAGTGCAAAGTCTTATGCAACGTCTTTTTTGGAGTGGTACTGGTTGGACGTAACAAGTCGTTAGTCACTCTACTGTCGTACTGAAGATCTACCATACTAATAATTGTCACTACTACTGTACAGACATGACCGCGTACTTGTGATTTTGTGCTGACTTGTAGAGGAGCTCATTTCATTTTCAGTTCATACTTCATAGTTCACCACCATGACAGCATTATGACTTCATCATGACTCCTGATCACGTCATTCATGTCACATTGTTGTCGCGTGCGCAACTGCGCACGTGCGTAAGTTGCGCACGTGCGTAAGCACGGCGCATGGCCTAGTCAGGCTAGTGGCGTAGTAGTACTGCCACAGTGTGCCGAGTTCAGGGCTTCAAGCCTGCCCTAGCCCTGCAAGACCGACTCATTACATGCCAGTCACCTCATGACGTCTAGATAAAGACGTCTGCGCCTAGCGCTAGGCTAGAGTAGCGCCTGTGTGGGGTTATCAGTACTTATCACCGGTTATGGACTGGTTGATCACACGATGACGCTGACACTTGACTTGACAGATTAGCGTTCGAAGATGAGGTCGCACCAAATCCATGGTATGTGCGCCAAGAACACCTACCGTACTGTTGTAGTCTGTAGTTTACATGACATTGGTTTTAATTTTGTAGTAGATCTACCTACAGTACAGGAAATCTACCTACATTGTAGTGCCTGCGTCTGTAAATATTTTGTGCTACTACTAGTACATTGTAGATTCCGCGCTGTCTGCAGTATAAATCATCAAGCCAGTACATATTTATAGTTCAAAACTCCGGAGCATTACTATATTACTATTACTAGGTCGCGGGGGGTATAAAATGCACAGGGCGAAGAATGGCGTCCCAGAATCAGCGGCGACCAGTACGCAGCGGAGCGCAGTCAATGTCTATGTCCTTGCAGCGGCGCACAGTGGAATCCGGAGCATCACCAACCATTGGTATGGCCGCCAGGCCCGCCAATGATTGGCGTCGGAGGACGATCAGGGCTGTCAGGGATTACAATAATCCACCCTCTAGTGGTGGATATCGCGTACAAGCGCGCAGGTCCTATGGCAGACTCCAGGCGCAGCACGGGCCCAATTCCAGATTTCTCCAGCGGCGCGGTGCAACTATGGAGCTACTCGCTGATGATTGGAACAGCGAGGGCGAGGATACGATCCTAAACTCAACGCTTGATGAGTCAGGTAAAGGGGACTGTTGAACAAATAAAAGGGCCCTTTAAAAATAGCTAGGTTGAGTACCGGTATCATCATTTACAAGTAAAAATAGTAGTATTATTGACATATCCGCGGCAAGCCGCTTATGTACAACGGCATGGGAGAGGATAACAAAAAATGAAAATATAATTATTGTTGGGGAAATCCACGCTATTATCGAATATTCAACAATGACGGGTGTGGGGTTATACCAAATTCCCATAATGTGGAAGTACGTTATTATTGTTGAAAGCACTAGGTGATCTGCACTCTACAATGTGACCTGTGCGATTATATCGTTGAATGATTGCCTGTTCCGAGCCACCAAACGCAGTGTCTCCAGGTCCTTCAGACTCCGGAGACGCATGGACGTTGCCTTAGCTAATTCGTTGTCTATCACCACTGGTAGGGTGATGCGCGGGCGTCCGAGCCAGCCCCGATTCTGTCGCTGGAAATACGCTGTCATGCTCACCTGCGCTGGAGTTGCTTCAGGGAGGCGTAGAATATGACCAAACAGTTTCCACCGTGCTCTTCTAGTAAAAATACAATCCTAAAAAGGCTAGTCATGTGACATTTCGGCAGAATTCCGCTGCCATGGTAACAATGATAGTGCACTGCACATAATTATCCTGATACTAGTACATATGTAGTGCATCATCTAATGATCGGCTTAGATTGTTAGTGATGCAGTCCTTTTTAGGGGTGCCAACCAGTAGTAGGGTACCCGTGGCGGTGCTACCCGTAATTTGATCGGGTTGTAGGGTAGCAATTTGCTCCTGTGAACCCGATCGGGTAGTTGGAGTACAATATCATTGCAACGGTGCATGTAAACGGCACGGCTACGTGCTACTGTACACTTTCCACGTAGCGCACTCACAGTACAAACTGTGTCAAAAAAAAGAAAATTACCCGATAGGGTACCTGTGCTACTCGGATAGAAATACCCGCCCGTTACCCGACCAAACCCCTACCCGTTGCAGCCCTAGTCCTATTAAAGGGTCTGTGATCAGCTATGCAAAAAAACACCCTCTCATGGCGTGTCCGGGTGGCCATGAAGTCGAGACCCTAGGTCGGCGGAGCTTCCCAAAACTCATCACCACTGGCATGATTCACACAGTGCGTGCTTCACCTGCTGCAGCTCATGGCTGGCATACCATATTCACGCGCATAAAAGGGCACGCACTTATATTTGAATACAAGGGCACCTCCACATAATAATTATTTGGATAAAGGCATGAAAAAAACTCATGACCCAAGAGTGTGTATTGATGACTTGAATACTCATATTGAAAGACATGCCCTTGTATCCGGAACATTTTTTCCTGGCAAAATGGAAAAACGAATTTTTCCGCATATAAGGGCATATATGGGATGCAATTGTATGTGGATTGATACGATAAGTGATGACCCATTGCGGGTGAGCTAGGCTATGGAAAGAGAAGAATGGTTTCGATCCAGTTGCATTCCCTCCTACGGAGGTTTGCAGGACCGATGGTGGACGATGGCAGCTTCTTCTGCTGCATACTTGTGTGACGTCATCTGCATGCGTGACCCCATCTGCTGCCCCTCACGCCACATCCATCGCAAAGGCTTCTTGTTGTGGACTGCTGTGTTACCCAATTATGGAGGAAACCGCTTCCATCTTGTGTGGTGAAACGTTTTAAAACATACCGGTAACCAGGGAAACAATAGTTGGAAAGGGTTGCTAGGTGGATCTCATTATCCTCAATCTCGGCTCAAACTACATGACTGTGAAATAATAAAAGTGTATACACAATTATACATCCAATAATGTCAAATGGCTCAACATGCACGTACACACACACGCGCGCACATGCATGCATATCATTTAACTCCATATACACACTCTTGGTGTCTTGTTCTCTTCTTTAAAAGGCGAGACACAAGTTCATGGTACACCGATCGACGCCTCATTCTTCCAGTTGAAAATCAAGAGTATTGTTCCACAACCCACTGATCAGAGGACCAACCAAGAATCAACGCCCACTGCAACACAGACATCAAGCGCATCCGACGCAACACAAGACAGCGGTCAGAACGAGACCTTTTTCACATTCAGCTCGGACGACAGCGAACCGGATCGGGATACAGACGAGGAAGGCGGTACAGCGCCCGTAGACTACGTTCTTCAACGAATGATTGGTGATAAGTTTGACGTAGGGCCGAGGGGTCTCACCATTGGATCGGGCAAAGGCTGCGATGTCCGTCTGCCAAAGCGTACTTTACTGGAGGCGCAACATGCTCGCATCGAGTGGAGGTCTGCTAATCCTAGTCCGACAAGTACACCGCCTTCGGCTGACGGCGGCCGGGCTCGGCTGACTTTGCAGGATCTTAGTGGTGGAGGACGCTTTTGGCTAAGCTCCCAGCCTGAATGTTCTGTAATCATGAGTGGAAGTGCTGATGGGGATCAAGAGCAACAGTCAGAATCACTAAGTGAGCCTGTTGAGCTATGCTGGGGGGCCAAGTTCAGTATGGGACGAGTAGAATTTCAAGTCGTTCCTTTGCCTCCTTCAACGCTGGTCTGCAAGTGTCTGTTTGCTGCCGTGCGTAACGATGACGCAACCGTATTGTCGGCTGTGCTGGATGCAGCTAAGGAACCCAATGGTCTGAAAGGTGAGGAGTGAGTCACGGTGTATTGTTGCCATTGCTGTAGTGATCATTGTTGGTCATGGCTTATCCATACGCTCATACCTCGCTTATCCATACGCTCATACCTCGCTTATCCGGGCGGTCCAGGACCGGGCACTGCCCATAACTTTGAAATGTCCGTAACTCCGAATCACATACATTTGATGGCGGAAGGCCATAGACATGGTATATGACGTCATTATTTCCAAACAGTGACAAAAGAGTGGAACTATTTCCACTGAAACTCGCCCAAAGGGTGCCCGGTAGACCGAAGTGCCCGTACCTTCAGGGTCCGGATAACCGAGGTATGACTCACTCAGCCTTAGCCCGTATGAGTGTACTGAAGTACTCGGTTGGGGATATCACCATGACTTTTAAAATAACCCCTGATGTACAGCTGGGGTAAGATAAAGGGGCCATACCCTACCCCATGTTCCCTACGAGAACTCAGACACGGCTGGCATGGAGTCTAATGCATGCAGGCGAATACGTCTCAAATTCTTTTGCTTATATTTGTATTTGAATAGATTTCTGGTTGGAGGAAAGCAAATCAGCACACGAAGCACAGAAGCCATATCATTTTTTCGGCTAGGCCTTTCATTCCATTACTCTTCAGGTCGAATACAATGGTGATTAACAAGGTAGTGAGCAAGTCCTTATAACGTGCAAAAGTGCCGGTTATAAGGACTTGCTTACTACCTTGTTAATCACCATTGTATTCGACCTGAAGAGTAGTGGAATGAAAGGCCTAGTCGAAAAAATTATATGGCTTCTGTGCTTCGTGTGCTGTATTTGTATTTATATCATTTTCTCGTGGCACATCATGATGACGGCCAGTAAAACTGAGACAAGGCTGGAAGCCAACCACAGCAGTAAAACAGATAAAAAGAATACAAATAAAAGGCTTGTTCACAAGCAATCAGTAAAACTCTACACAGTAAAACGTTAAGTAAAGACCGCTGTGACTAGCAGCCAGCCTGGTACTACAGACCACTTCGCCAGGCACGAACGGTCTCACATTCATATTATGGTTGTGCGGTGCAAACCTCTAACTAAGGACCACCTGCCAATAAAGACCGCTTTTTCTGGCCCCAAGGGGTGTTCGTTAGTCACAGGTTTGACTGTAATTATAACGATCCAGTCTTTCTCATGAGAATAGGTCGAAGAGCTTTTGGAGTGATTTTATGAGTTGACCGAGTAATAAAATTAACAACTTTGTGGCTAATTTTGAAAGTACTGGGAGAGATTCAAGTTCAAAGGATCGGTCAGGGAAGTGAACTGACTGAAAAGAGAAAAGAAAACCAATCCTGGTGGGTTTGGCAGTTTTCCTCTTTTCAGGCAGTTCACTTCCCCGACGGATCCTTTGAAATTTGTGGCTTTTTGTAATTTTGTATTCTTGTCTCTCATCAGTTAATGCCTTGAGTGAACCAGCCAGGGGCGGCGGAAGCGGCCTGATTGGTCAGCCCCTGGCTGGACCACGTCTTTAGCCACCAACGGGTGTTAACTGCTGAGAGGGGTCATGCGAACTCGCCATATCATCCACAAAGTGATAAATTTCACTCCGCTGATGCATTCTTTTCTTCCAAGTATCATCTTCTTTCCTTCTTTTTCTTCTTTTGCCATGGCCGGCTAACGCCCCCTACTTTGCATTGGCTTCTGCCATTGGACGGTGAAATAAAAAAATAAAGTGTGAACAGCTGTGGTATGGCAGGACCACTCAGAACCTGCTTCCACCGCTTGTGCCTACTGAACCAGCAATGTGAGGCCTGGCTTGATATTTTCTGTGCATGGACCACGCGGAGCTGTGACCGTATTTGACAGCTCAAAACCCCGAAACTCCTGTACTTATACGGCTTTTCTATTTGCTCCGTTTTTTTCTTCTTGCTGTTGTACGTGTGTGGTTGCTGCATGCTTCTTGTTCGAAGGTGCGGGTAGTGCATGCCCATTGCTGCGACCCAATTCCGGCCGATCGGTGAAGCGTCTCGACCTGGAGATCACTGACAAGCCGCATCCGGCGTCCGTGTTCGATGACGAGGAGGAAGACAACGAGCCAGCGGCCGCGACGACGCAGGCCAACTCCCCGTTTGCAGCGATGTCGTGGCTAGCGCCGAATGCCCGCTCCAGGCAACTGTTACTTGCAGCCAGGCGGCGACGTCGAGCCGAGAGCAGGTGTGTCTGGCCTACCAGTTCTAGTTGTAGTTAGGCATTCGAGCATACACTGTGACACTGCAGTAAAACGTCCCTTGGTCAGGATACCCCTTATCCGGGGATGTCCGTGTACCAGGCACCTTTCTGACATATCTAGAGTCCAAAAATTGGCTTTTCAACAAAAAAATAGCCCAAAAACTATTGATTCGCGTAAAAAATGTTTACTTGTATGCAGAAAGTATATACATGTATGCTCTGAGTTCCAATTTCTAGTTACGGGCTGTGCCTTTTCCCAACCTGCCCGGGGTAGGGCAGTTTTACTGTACTTGTGCTGCTGCCAGTTTGCTGGTGTGGTGGATTTGGATCATGCTTACAGACCTCCTGTACGCTGCGCTCTGGAGAATCAAATTAGACCGAAGTCGAACGGCTTTGGAGCTAATCGCGTCACCTAACTCATGATTGTCTATTTTATTGCAGCTGTGGCAGCTTGAAAGGAACAAAAAGCAGTGCTCCAAACTTTTAGGCTTTTAAATCAGTACCGTGAGTGATATGTACAAGCATGCCCAAACGAGTATCCTGTCTCAGTTCTACGAATGCCAGAGGACAACTTGGTACAGACAAATTGTGCTTCTCTTGTAAAGATTTTCACCTCCAAAGTGGTTTGAGCTTGAAATGTTTTTTTTCTTTGCATGTTTGTTTTTGCTTTTTGTCAGGTATTTGAGGATGCACCGCAGGCCTCAGCAAGGCCAGGCTGTTGGATTGCTTCACGTCGCTGTGGACCAGTCCAATTTGGAGATTGTTTCTCTTCTGCTGTCGGAGGGGGCAGAGGTAAGGACGATGGGTGGAGGGTGAGTGGGAACGTAATCACTCCGCAACAAATGCAGTCAAGAGCATGTAATACAGACTGGAAGCTCCACGTACGTGTACGTTTGTTGGCACCCTTATTGTTTACCATCTTGTAGGACGCATCACGCAGCTTCATAAGTAAAAAATTGGTTGTGAGCAACACTGGCTCACACTCGAATCATTGCTTTTCACCGGAAAAATATTTTATTTCAACGTTTCGGTCATGAAATAACTTATTGTTTACGCCTATTTAAGGAGTCATGGAAGTGGTGCATGTTCGCAGTTCTAGTCTTGCACTGCATCACTGCAACCTTCGGCACATTGTTTCACCGTACCTTGATGTCAATGATGGCGTAAATGATGGGTTACACTTTCCCCCAGCAAGATCTGTTGCGCACTCTGGCGTCTCTTGATACGCACTATCCACTCTCCTCCTCCTTTCTCAAATTCTCTCTCTATCTCTCTCTCTCTCTCTCTCTCTCTCTCTCTCTCTCTCTCTCTCTCTCTCTCCGGAAGGTGAATGGCATAGAAGACACATCCCGAGGATCACCTCTACAGATGGCAGTGAACCGAGACAACGTGGAAATCGCCCGACTGCTGTTACAGGTACGGTGTATTGCTAAAGCGCCAAAAGGGAGCAACAAAAGAAGAAGGAAGTTGCTTTCTTCTTGCTTTGCTCCCTTTTGCAGCGTCACCTTTTTTCTGCCTGTTGTGCATATTTGGTGCAAATGTAAGCGCATGAATGCTAGTTTCCCTTTCTTGTGTTACTGTTGAGAAGCCGAGTCATACTAATGCCTTTTCGTTTTTATTGCTTGACATCATTTGCAAACATGCCAGTTGATACGATGTGCTCCTGGTGTATATGTACCATGGCCACAACTTGCTTGGCCTACATGTGCATGACATACGCTGGGTATAGTTTGGAATATTCTTTGTCTTTGAAAAAGACGCGAACCGTGAAAAAAGAAATTAAAAAAAAGAAAAAAAGAAGGTAGTACAATCAGTCCTGCATCTGTACGTTGTCCACACCAGTCTAGAGGAACAAGTCGAAGATTTTCTGAACCAAACGTTACCTTCTCATCAGGGGCGCATACAGGGATTAAAGTTGAAACGACTACTAGAAGTAAAAGAACAATGATATATACATGTAGGTAAAATATGCATGACTAGTGTACTACTTTTAGAATTGGAGCGCTTCCAATTTGTTTTACAAATATTCTTTGTCGCAAATATTTGTAAGAAGAATGTCTTTGTCATGAAGCGTTTGGTTCTGCCCTTGAAACTTGAAATTTCTATTCTGGCGGTTGCGCTGGCGGAATGTTTGCTGTGCTTTTAGCATGGAGCTAGGATGGAGGTAGAAGGCGCACCCGGACACCTTCCGTTTCAATGTGCCACTTCGCACAAGATGAGGTGTGTGCTACTCATCGCTGCATTCTTTCCATGTGTATGCGTGTCTGTGTGTGTGTTTGTGCATGTGTGTGGTGTGTGTGCACGTGAATATGCGTGCATATGGATGTGCATGTGTACTTACGCAATGCACGTGTGTGTGTGTGTGCGCGCGTGTGTGTGTGTGCTTGTGTGTGTGCATGTGTATGTGTGTGTGGATATGTGTGTGTGTGTGTACGCGCACGCGTACGTGAGTGTGTGTGTGTGTGTGTGCTTGCAGGTGTGCATGCATGCCAAAGTGTTTCATTCACAATCTCTTTGCCGTTGTGATCCATTTGTTCAATGTGGTGCCGAGCGTTTAAATCCGTAATATCGGCACAGGATAAATTCTGTTGCCCTATGACATGAACCAACAGCACATCAGTCTGTCTGTCTATCCATCCGTCTGTACACCGACACGTCTGTTCATCTGTCTGTCTGTCTGTATTATTATCTTTATGAATGCTTCTGCTTTTCTCAATGTCTGTGGATACGTCTCTAAGGGTATTTGCACGTCATGGCAGCATTCTGAACCTGAATGCACTATCTTATAATTAGGTTACAAAACATTTCTTAATGTACGCAAGCTCCACTGCAGCCACTTCATAACATGAAAAACCCTGCACACACCATCCTCAAATCAAGTGGTCTCTTCGCTGCAAATTACAATATCTCAATCAAATTTTCGGCCAGGAGCCATCATATGTTACAAAATACGATTCAAGTACAATGGACAATGCCTGCATCAGCCATTGGTTAAGTTAAGAACAGACCCGTGCATAAGAGAAACATAATTTGTCACGATTAGATTGTAGTGTACAATGGTGGCAACTGTGTTACTAAACGGATGGTGACCGGTGTGTTCTGTTGATGTGCAGGAAGCTACTCCTGAATGTGCCTATGCTGTGCTCCGCTGCCGAGGTCGGTGATGAAGACGAGGTCCGTGGACTTCTGGCCTGCAACACACCCGTCAATGGCATTGGACTTGGGTAGGCCTTCCCTTGTGTGTGTGTGGGTGTAGGTGATGACGCGTGGGAGTACATGTGATAATTATGATGTGTGTGTGTGTGTGTGACGTATGGCATGCAAAAGAGGCTATGATTCGATTTTGGCCTAGGAACAGGTGCCTGTTGTGAGTGAAAGTGACTTTCTTTGGCCGTTGTGCTAACCTTGTGCGGTGGTGGACTTGTTTTGACTTGAATGTGCGATTT